TGGCGTTCAACGTGTTGATTCTTTGGAAAAGATGTCTCTTGACATTCGAATATTTTCAGAAAATGAAAGGAGTCGTGGCATTCTTCTCGGCGAGAGACATTCCTGGTAAAAACCTGTTTATTAGTAAGGACAGCAAGGAACCGATGCTGTTCAGCGATGAAGTTGTAAATAAGACTAACATTTCATTATCTAATTAATAGTCGTCGCAGTGTATCGAAGTTGTTTGTTATATTTTTTAGCTGTTCGCTGACGAGAAAGTAGAATTCGCCGGGCAGCCGGTCGGTATCATCGTTGCTACGAGCCAGAGAATTGCAAACGAGGCAGCGGAGAAGGTTCGAGTTTCTTACGTCGACGTTCGTCAGGACAAAGCAGTGTTCTCCATAGAACAAGTCCTCGCGTCGAACGACGACACGAGGATAATGCAGACAGCGACTCATGCTGCCAAAAGCAAAGGTGATTCGCGTTTAGCGATCATTGATCGATTACACCGTCGAACAGATTTTATTTCAATTTTTCATCTGAATAATAATATATTCAGATTGAAATCAATCCCCCAATATTCAATTGCCACGTCTCCAACGGTGCGTCTTACAGGAAACGACACGAAGCACGTGATAAAAGGAGTGTTCCGTACCGGCGGCCAGTATCATTACACCATGGAGCCACAGTCTTGCGTTTGCGTGCCGATCGAGGACGGTCTAGACGTCTATCCGGCAACGCAGTGGATAGATCTCGCCCAAACGGCCATATCCGAATGTCTCGACGTGCCCAGTAACAGGTGAGGAACTGTCTTGAAGCTTGAAAATAAAATGAAATCAATTCTGAAAGCTTCTTCACTGAAATCTTTCTCATTGCAGTATAAACATCAACGTGAGACGTTTGGGCGGTGGGTACGGTGGAAAGTTGTCTCGCACCACTCAGGTTGTCTGTGCGTGCGCGTTGGTCAGCTACAAGTTGAACCGGCCGGCACGTTTGATAATGTCCATAGAGAGCAACATGAAAGCCATAGGCAAGCGGTTCGACACTCGCCAGGAGTACGAGGTCGGCGTGGACGACAACGGACGTATTCAGTACTTAAACTCGAAGAGCTGGGGTAACGCTGGTTCCAGCTTTAACGAGCCTCACGCTTTCCTCACGCTGGAACACATGGAGAGGTAAAAGGAAACCGGTTACTCTGTTCATGTTGTATTATTAGATTGTACAGTAATGTATATTGGTGATTTTTTTCTGCAGCGGTTACGATACCAGCACTTGGACCTGCTACGGCTACGAAGCCAGAACCGATTTGCCGTCCAACACTTACTGTCGAGCGCCAAGTATGACGGATGCTCGTTGAATTTTTCCCCGTTCCCCTTGGACACGTCTTTCTGACTTGCTTTCCTGGCCACAGGTTCAACGGAAGGTGTTGGCATGATCGAGAACATAATGGAGCATATCGCGAGGGTCGTTGGAAAGGACCCGGTGGAGGTGAGGCTGTTGAACATGGATCCGGATCAGAAGACCGTCTTGCAGCCTATGATAGAAGAGCTGTCCAGGAGCGCGGACTACGACGCGAGGAAGAGGGCCGTCGAGACGTTCAACAACGTGAGATTTTACGTTCCTGTGTCTCTGCGTTTGCGTCGATAGGGTCACTCGTTGAACAGATTTGTTTCGGTCGTTCAGGAAAATCGATGGAAGAAAAAGGGGATAGCTTTAGTGCCTATGCTGTACCCTTTCATGTTCTGGGGACAGTTCCACGCGCATGTCGCTATTTACGCCCACGACGGTACCGTTTCTGTCACGCATGGTGGCGTCGAGTGCGGTCAGGGTATTAACACCAAGGTAACTGAAATTGGAAGTGAAACGATACAGTGTCAAGATGAGAACTGGTTCACGTTTTCTTTCGATAGGTGGCTCAAATGGCGGCGCACACGTTGGGAATCGATTTGTCACTGGTGACTGTCAAGCCGAACAATAATTTGACAGCCCCGAATAACAGCGTTACCGGTGGCAGCGTAACCAGCGACGCCTGTTCATATGTAAGTATATTTCAAGTGCAGTGTGTATATTTCAAGTGCAGTTACTGTAATTCCTTCATATGTGACTCGTACAATCCTAGGCAACTATGGTAGCTTGCCAAGAGCTTCTGAGAAGGTTGGAACCTGTCAAACAAGAATTGAAGGATCCTACTTGGCAACAATTGGTATCAACGGCTCATCAAAAGGACGTCGACTTGTGCGCACGTTACCTGTATGTTCAGCTTCTTTAGTGTAGTATCAGTTGTGTACGCAGCATTCGGTATTTGACGTTTCAACGCTCAGGTCTACTGCGAAAACTGAAGACATCAGGTCTTATGGGATATACGGTGTCACAATAGCAGAAGTGGAAGTCGACGTGTTGACCGGACAACATATCGTGCAGAGGGTGGACATAATGGAGGACGCTGGGGTCAGTATGAACCCGGAAATTGATTTGGGACAGATAGAAGGCGCCTTCGTTATGGGCCTTGGATATTGGACCATGGAGGACTTGATCTACGACCCGAAAACTGGCCAGTTGACGAATTATAGAACCTGGGTTCGTATTTAGCATAGTCATTGTGTATCGGAATGATTATATTCGCAATGTTATCTTTGCGTAGAATTATAAAACACCTGGAGCGAAGGATATTCCAGTCGATTTTCGCGTCTATTTCCGCCGAGACGCGCCCAATCCGTCGAGCGTTCTCCGTTCGAAAGGTAATGTTAATTACGAATCTATAAATGTTAACACATTGCGTACCGGTAACGAGAAATCTCGTTTTTATATAAAGACACTTAGCTATGCAACTTCGCTAATTACCGCAGCATTGAAGAAATATAAAATTTAATTCGAATTGATTATCTACTTAGAATATATTGCATAACAATGTGATATCTGAATTTTTCTGTGTGTAGTGATATAAGTTGACCTCAGTGAAAATTGCCATCCGAACAATTTAGTTTTCTGAAAATTAGCCGGTACGCAATGTGTTCACTTACCAACTTGACAATCATGAATATTACAGCAACCGGTGAGCCACCTCTCTGTATGAGTTGCGTGATACCAATTGCAATTCGCAATGCACTAAACTCGGCGAGAAAAGATGCTGGAAATACAGATGTATGGTATCAGTTGGGTTAGTTGATATTTAATAAACATATTCAGCTTTCAAACTTGTAGCTTTCATCTACTTTCTGGTAATTGTAAATTACTTTTGCAGACGGACCTGTCACTACAGAGAAGATTTTATTAAACAGTTTAACTACAAAGGATCAGATGTCTATTTAAACTAAGAATTGGTGTATTTATTAAACAAAGTGCTAATGCACGGTGCTTCCATAAAATGAAATAAACGAAGAGGAAGCGAGGAAGATAGAGGTGAAACAAAGTGAAAATAAAGTACTCTGTAATTAACGAGGCGCAATTGTAAAGAAAAGATGGATGAAATAAAAGACAAGTTATTAATATGCAATCTGTGTACATTTATTTAATCCCATTTCTTTACGTTCACCTGCGTGGTGCAAAAAGGAAATACATAATTTAATTATAAATAATAAATCGCTGATCATTCATCACGCTCTCTTAATAAGTACCAGGGACTTAAGGGATAACTTTCAAGAATGGCGGCTCGGAGAATGTTTATGTTTTTCGGATACCTCTTTTAATATCATGTTCTCCTAATACAAAACTCAGATTTCGAGATCCGCCTGAAGTTTCCCGTCTTTTGGTTTGTTTATATTTTTCGGATACCTCTTTTAATATCATGTTCTCCTAATACAAAACTCAGATTTCAAGATCCGTCTGAAATTTCCCGTCTTTTAGTTTGTTTATGTTTTTCGAATACCTCCTTTGATATCATGTTCGCCTAGTAAGAAACTCGGATTTCGTGATCCGCCGGAAATTTCCCGCCTTTTAATTTGTTTACATTTTTCGGATACCTCCTTTAGTGTCATGTTCTCCTAGTAAGAAATCACTGAGAGTCGAAAAATTTGAAATGGAACGCGAAAATCCGAGTTTTGTATTAGGAGAATATGATACTAAAGGAGGTATCCGAAAATTTCCCGCCTTTTTGGTTTGTTTGCGTTTTCTCGGATACCTCTATTACTATCATGTTCTCCTAATACAAAACTCAGAATTTCGCGTTCCATTTCAAATTTTGCGGCTCTGAGAAGTTTCTTACTACGAGAACATGATACTAAAAGAAGTCTCCCAAGTTTTCCCGCTCTTTTGGCTTGTTTACAGTTTTCGGATACCTCCATTACTATCATGTTCTCCTAATAAGAAGTCTCCCCGAGCCGCAAAATTTGAAATGGAACACGAAAATCTGAGTTTTGTATTAGGAGAACATGATATTAAAGGAGGTCCCCGAAAAAACATAAACAAACCAAACGGCGGGAAATTTCCGGCGGATCTCGAAATCTGAGTTTCTTAGTAGGAGAACATGATATTAAAAGAGGTTTCCGAAAAACATAAACAAACCAAAAGGCGGCAAATTTCCGACAGATGTCGAAATCTGAGTTTCTTACTAGGAGAACATGATATTAAAAGAGGTATCCGAAAAACATAAACAAACCAAAAGGCGGCAAATTTCCGACGGATGTCGAAATCTGAGTTTCTTACTAGGAGAACATGATATTAGAAGAGGTATCCGAAAAAAGTAAACATTCCCGTGGCGCGAGCTTTGAAACGGATTTCGCAAGGTAGTCAGAAATAAAAGACACAAGTTTTACAATATTTACTAATTTATTTATTTCAACTCATTCGTTTTACATTTACATGAGCAGTACAATACCGTAGTAACAAATTTAACTATTAATTATAGATTCCTCATGAGTTCTTGCTCCAACTCAAGCAGATTCGTCTAAGTTCCAGCTCGCCAAATTCCAGCTAAAATACACCAGTTTAACATTGGCATTCTGCAAATAAACGCGAACTGTATTAAACATAACTAAAGTTTGCACGTGACACCATAGGATCGCATATGATGCCATAATTACAATTTTAAATCTGTCGGAATTACCCGCTGATCAGCGCCATCTAGGATAAAACGTTGAAGCTCGCCAAATAGTACTCCTGTACAGTCACAAGATGGCGCTGGAATATTCATAAATTAGGTCAGCGCCATCTAAAATGAAACGCCCAAGCTACACGCCAAATAGTACGCCTATACTATCGCTAGATGGCCCTACAATATTCTATTACAGGTACAGCGCCATCTACAATGGAACGCTCAAGCTACTCACCAAATAGTACGCCCGCACCGCCGCTAGATGGGCCTGTAATATGGCTGTCCTCGTCGCACAGTATTTCCTTCCTTGTCTCGTAGAAGCAGCGCCATCTACCACGAAACGTCCAAGCTGCTCGCCAAATAGTACGCCTATACTGTCGCTAGATGGCCCTTCAATATTTTATTACAGGTACAGTACCATCTACGATGGCACGCCGAAGCTGCTCGCCAAATAGTACCAATAGACTGCCAACAGATGGCGCGAATAGCGTAAGAGAATGCCGTACCATCTACAATGAAACGTCCAAGCTGCTAGCCAAATAGTACCAAGACATTGTCGACAGATGGCGAGAGTGTTTGGCAAGACCGCGCCACCTACCGCTGGTGCAGCTGTACTACTACTTGGCGAACAGCTTGGGGGTCTCACCGTAGATGGCGCTGATTTTTGGAAGACAAGGAGAGGTATAGTGTGCGACAAGGATAGCGCTACGTCGCAGCGCCATCTAGCGAGAACACGACCGTACTACTGTGCTACCTGCTTGGGCGTTTTCTGGTAGATGGCGCTACAAAATTGTTGTCCTCTTCGCACCGTGTTCTCTTTCCTTGTCGTACTCGTTGAGGTTATACGAAGTGATTTTGATTTTCATACGATTGATACATTTTTATTCATACTCCGTCCCGTACCTTTTATTAATGAAATTGTTTTTACAAGCGATCAGTTACGAAAGAGAGATAAAATTAAAAGTGACATCGCGATTTGAAGTAAATAAATGACGTAGCGTTGTTGACAGGAAATGGTATGTAGCGAATGATCTCGAAGAATAACTGTTTATTTGTCAAATGAATAACATTTTCAGAGGAAACAAATTATTATTGATATTAAACGTCCGTAATGACAGAGGAATCGATAAACAATAAATTATTAACCGACAGATAGTTTATTCGTTTACTGTACACAATTTAAATCGAGGGCCGATACAATCCGGGAGAGACAGCTACAGAGACTTTTATGTTCACCGTATCTTGAACTTTGGCACCGCTGGCCAAAGATGTTCGGCTCGCACTGAGAGCGACGTTGACCGCACCACGGACCGCGTACGACTGAAGCGACACGACTTAATCTTCACATCTTATAACAGAAACCGAATGCCGAACTTATTTCGTGTACCAAGGAATGCACCGTCGGAAATATTAATTGAAAACACTGGTGACCTCGGCACGACGCTGCACGACGCTTGTACGGTTTCAGGCGTAATCGCGAAATGACGATATATTACAGGTTTCCTTCGCCGATGTAACCGTAACAAGCGAAAGGCAATGAATAAATGATTATCGTTCGAATGAATGGGTCGGGAAATATTAATCGATAGGTTGCACGAGTGTGTCGGTAGCGACGCGCGTGTATTTACTACTTACGTACACGTGGGAATACACTCGTCACCTACGTGGCTCCACCGTACGGTTAAGATCCTTCCATACGAGTATTTCCACGAGGGAAAACGATGCTTTCCTTCTCGAACAAATTTTCTCCGCGTCCGGTGCAAAGGCCAACAATGGAGTCCGCGGAAGCCTGTCAACGCGTGAGACTTCGTCGCTCGGTTTAGAATCCTGTTTACGAAACCGTCCAACATCGACACGGTGATCCTGCACCCTGATCGGATAATCGTAAACTGAGAGGCAGATCGCGAGCCAATTATCGTTTACGTGTAACGAGAATGCAGGTCGTCCTCGTGTAGCGACAACCGAGGAGCGATTACGTGAATATCATAATGGTTGGTAATCTGACGTGATAAACGTGGACACGAGTGGAGGATTTGTTTTATCTTCAAAATACTGTACACCCGATTCGCAGAGGAAGTTAAAATAATACCGTGTGCCGTGTTACACTCCTGTATCTCGTATAACGACCAATCCAAAATTCCTGTAACCTAAGAAACTTGCTCGCGGTTCTCCTCTGTCCAGGCTGTGACACGATATTCAGTAAATAATTACGGGATATTTACCTGGGCAAGCGGTCGAATGATTGTCTGTTTTGCACTTTACAGATGAGGTGACACTAGTTCTGCCATGCGGAACAGGTCAGTCAGCATTATTTTTGGTTCTCTTGTCCTATGGGGTTTGATTACGTACTTCCTAATCTCTGATCAGCCGGTGAACAAGGAACAGGATACAGTAAGCTTCTCGAGATTTTAAATGAACGTTACGACGGACAGTTGGACGATCGAAATGGATGAGTTAGCGAGAAGTGAAAGGAATACGTTCTTTAAAATTTCCCAAGAGTTATAAAAGTTTATTAATTCCAGGCTAGAATATCGAATCAGATTACTAAATTGGAGAAGAGAGTAAAGCAAGAGATAGCGTTGAATCAGGAGCTTCTTCAGGGTATCAAAGAGGACAAGCAACGTAAAAGTATGTTTCTGTATAATGTTGATATTTAGAAGAGAGTATCCGATGAATATTTAAATATCTTTTCATTTTTACTGAAAAGAAAAATTAGACGAGACAACTATAAACACAGAGGAGAAGCAAAGGGATAAAAATGATGTTAATCGGGACAAGATCTCGTTCGATAAAGAAAAGAAAAGTATGGGAGTCAACAATAAAGATGCGGAAATATTGCCAGAAAAATTGACACCTCCTGTAATGTATCCCAGCATGATTAATTTATAGTTTACAACCAAAGCATTTGCAGATTCTATATTTTATTGTTTTCAACAGAGCAAAATCTCTTATAATGTTCCTATTAATGGAAAACTACCAGATGGATCTCCGATAATAGCAGTTTTGGTGTTTTCTTGTAATCGTATCACAGTACAAAGATGTCTCGATCAATTGATTAAGTATAGACCCAATGTAGAACAGTTTCCAATCATTGTCTCCGAGGATTGTCAACACCATCAAACTGCTGAAGTTATTGCCAGATATGGAGATCAAATAATGCACATACAAGTATGATACTGCAGTCCTTCACTCTTTCTTAGATCGACGAAGATCACCAAAGGTAACAAATGCATGTTGCAGCAACCTGATCAATCAGAGATTGAAGTGCCGCCGAAGGAGAAGAAGTTTAGGGGATACTTCAAAATTGCACGCCATTACGGATGGGCTCTTAATCGTGTATTCTTTCAACTCGGATACAATACTGTGATAATAGTTGAAGGTAAATGTTCCGATTCCATTATCTCGTTCCTTATTGATTAAACAGTTTCTTATCTAATCGTCTGTTCATCGTTGTATAGATGATTTGGACGTGGCTCCGGATTTTTTTGAATATTTCCTGGGTACGTATCCCTTGTTGGTATCCGATAATTCCTTGTGGTGCGTGTCGGCATGGAACGACAATGGAAAAGCTGGTTTAGTTGACGAGAATGCAGTAGATGCATTATACAGGACAGATTTCTTTCCTGGACTGGGCTGGATGTTGACGCGTCAATTGTGGACTGAACTTTCACCAAAATGGCCCAAATCGTAGGTACAAAATGTTTTTCCTACCACAAAACACGACCAACGTGCATAATACACCAATGAACGTTACAACAGATACTGGGACGACTGGATAAGACAACCTGAACAACGTCGAAACAGAGCATGCATACGACCAGAGATATCTAGGACAAGAACGTTCGGTAAAACTGGTGTAAGCAAGTACGTATAAAAAGTGAAGTTGTTGTGCAGCTATCGTAGACCATCAAGATGTTCCTATACTCAACTGATTGTTTCCTTACAGTGGAATGTTCTACGAAAGGCATTTAAAGTACATCAAGTTGAACACAGAATACGTGCACTTTACCAAAATGAACTTGACATACTTATTAAAGGTAACAACAACGTGATATACCATTATTTGCAATTCCACTGAAACTATTTCAACGTGTCGCAACTTGATCTTGACGGAACGAATGTTTCAGGATAATTACGATATAAATTTCGTCGACGAAGTGTATCAATCCACGGTGGTCAGTTTCTCGGAATTAAAGAATGGGAAAGTGGTGGCACCGGGTGCAGTGAGGATACCGTATTACAGCCGCCAAGCGTATAAGAACACTGCCAAGCAGTTTGGATTGATGGACGACTTTCGGGTAATTGTTAATACAATATACATATATATATCACCGATGTAAACATGTTAACCTGAACGGACTGACGGACTTGGTTTCTTTCCCGTTGGCAGAGTGGCGTGCCCAGAACCGGGTATCGTGGAGTAGTCACGTTTTTCTATAAGGGAAGAAGAGTACACTTAGCACCCAGTCCGAACTGGAACGGTTACGACATTACTTGGAGCTAACAGAGGATTCGACGCATCAGGAGTTCGTTACATTGTACAAGTTAATTGCTTCCATGACACGTTCGTTGATACCGAGTGAATATTTTCATCGAATGAACACTCTCCCACGGACGTTCGTCTGCTTATGATTTTCCTTGTAGAAAATTTGTGAGCGAAAACTGAAACACGTACTGTTAAGTAATTCGAGAGATTTGCATAGTGCCTCCACTGTTTGTACATACAGTGCTATGCAGAGGTGCAGTTAGTCCGGGTTAGCAAGAGAGTTCAAGAAAAAACGCTTGATGAAACAAAACAAAAAAGGGAAAAAAGTGATTGCAATACGTTGGAGGAGCATCCTGGATCATTTGACTCGCATAGCACTGTCTATCAAAATGCAAATGGACTGATAATAAGAATGTTGATTATTTGTGCAACTGAACAAGCAATCACAGTGCTAGTTACCGATTTAATTTTCTTCCATTCCGGTTAATGTGTCTCTTCCAAAAACACGTTAAAGACTGTTCGAACGTCGTCGAGATTACTTTGAAAGAAACGGTGATAAGGTCGCAAGGCAGTTGCATAAATAATTTAGATTCTACCATTATGTACATAATGTTTATATTGTATATCACACGTGCACAGTTCGAAAGCAAACGCAATTTTTTGGACTAATTTCATTCTTCAGCTTAATTTCATTCGCGTTTGTTGGAATTGACGAAAAGAAGAAGAAGAAGAAGAAGAAGAAGAAGAAGAAGATACGAAGAAGGAAGGCGGGCTTTAGTCCAGAAATGTTGTTTTTGATTAACTCTGCATTTTGTGCGCGTTGCTCACGGGTAATTACCGAAGAATCAAAGGTGCGAATTTGCTGGATTTAGAAATGGGTACTGTACCGAATTGTTGTTTCGAATCGAGAAGGGAGAAAGGGTTGCAGAACAGTGCCACCTTTTACTTTCTTTGCCATGCAACGGTCAAGGAATGTTCTATTAATAAAAAGCAAACAAAAGTGCTAATATTAATGACACGATTCATTTTCAATCAATTGAAAATTCCCAGAGTTAAATATTCTTAACAAACACATATATTTCTTCTATAAAGGTTTATAGAAATGCGATAGCATAATTCACATAGAATCTCGAAATTGAATATTTACTCATGGACAACTGTCCGACTCGTGAATAACATTCTTTCTAGAAATTATAATCTTTAGCCTTTCAACTTAGTAAAGCAAAACTTGTTACAGATCAAGATTTATGTTTATTACTTTTCGTTTTTTTAGCAATCTACAGTATCTTTCAGTGCATAAATTATATGTATTTGTATTCGTTCCTAATCGTATACGAAACAAATACAAATATTCTGATTATTTTAGTTCCTTTAAGTTTCGCAATATGTAGAATATTGACTACAAAAACAAATTCCCAACAGTACTAACAGATAACACGTTAGGCCCATGCGTTTCTGAAACCGAACTTTGGCTCGTCAAGATGGTCGGGTAAATTTGGTTCAGCAACACCATCTGTATATGTCGGTCTATATGGTTCTGGCTTTGGTCTCTTAGTGTCGTGAACTTTGGCTTCGCAGAAATATCCGAAATATGGTCGTTCTATTTTCAAATTCTTTAGAACGCATTCATCTAACACCCCTTGTGTTTTTCGACAGCTAAAAGTATTCCAACGGTTAGGGTCAAATGATTTTTGTTTTTCGAAAATAATTTTTAAGAATACAAAGAACGTACTGATGAAGTTCCAGCCTGCTAGAAGATTGTTCGAGACAATACTTATACTGATTAAATTCCTGCATACAATGTTCCTTGAGGCCTTTAAACACCCCCATTGCACAAGCGGTCACATTTCTTCCTTCCTTAAGGCATTTCCTTGGGTCCTTTGTTTCTTGTTTACATAGCGTAAATTCCTAAGTCAGAGAGTTCGGTCAACGTAAAGAATGTAATCCCACGAAGAATAAAACATAAATACCACTACGAATGATACAACTATTAATTACAAACCTTACCCCATAAACATGCTACCAACAAACTATCTACAAGGAAAGTTCAATAAGACACGACAAATAATTGGGTATATAGTTATAAAGCTTAATCAACAGTAGTAATAAGAAGAAAACACACGAACGTCAATTCCAGAATGAGGTTAACCGAGAAAGCTGTTTAACAGCAAATCAGCGTTTATCGAGAAATTCATTGGAATTACGGAGTACGTTAAAGATCAACCAATCAACGATACGGTTATAGAAAAGAATTTTGCTAATTGATTCAATAGCAATATTTGATAGCCGAGAATGTTATGTAACCTTTCGGAACTGAATGAAATTTAAGTACAGGATCACGCAAATGCACACTGGAGTTGACGGAGGTCGTGGAACATTAACGATAAAAACGAGATTGCTTACATTATTATCGAGTTCACATTTCTTGCCAACGTAAAAGGATGCAGCGTGCAGAGCTGGATAGCTAATATTTATTTCCTCGACAGTCAATTCCTCATCTGACGGGAATGTATAATCTTTTGGGACGACCATACTGTTCGACTACGTTTCACGGTCAATTACGATGTGAATAACAATGAAACCGACTTCGATTTCGACCTGTAATTCCTGACTTAAAAACAATCTCGAGACCAAATCAACTCACTCAAAAACCATTCTCGAATGACATAAGATTATAGATTTCAAACCTATCCACAACACGTCTCGGGAAAACGATGCCAGCGACTCCCTATCGGAGAAATATATCATCAAATAGTAAAAGGCGTATTTGAAATTTACGTTTATACAGAAATTTCTGTTTCATTGATTAATTATAAACAGCGAAATCAAGGAGTCACGCGTAATTAGTCTACTTGTCATTAGTCGAATAAACGAAAGAATTAAACAATCGTAGAATGCATATAACCTCGCGAAACTCAATAGAAGCCATTTTGTATTTCCCCTGATTGCTACCATTCGTCGTTTTTTTCTTTTCCCGGAAAGCCCGTCGAATATTTAAATATATAAAAAGCCCCACGAGATATTTAATATTTTGAAGGAAATCGTTCTCGTTCAGAAATTGGGGAATTTCGAAGAGGTTATGCTGCTACTTCTTTATCGACTGTGACACCCATCGCTTTTTCACGGCAAGTAGAAGGGGAAAGTGTGCACGCGTGCGCAATGGAAATCAGTTGTCGGAAAAACGCCGAATTTTGGTTGTAAAATAATTTTGTAAGCTAAAAATGAAGGGAAAAATACACAATAGCGAGGAAGATAATTATATCCCATGTCATCGCGTTAAATAACATTACCGAACTTTTTCAACGATGATAAGTGTCCCCTGCAGTATGACAGCAGTGTGTACAATAACATGGCTCTGGATCGGTTCGTTGCTTCTTCTTGGGATCATTGAAATTGTAGTTTTTAGGAAGTAACAAAGCTGTACGCGAGATAGATTTTTGGACAATTTAGGAGCTCAACAATACGGAAATATGGCTGATAAAAGGCAACAAAACTTATCGGTGAGTACTCGATTATCAATGCTGAACGTTAGTCTGTCATGTAATACAAATTTTCTGTATGTAACAAGATACTTAGCATTTTTGAAAATTCTTCGGCAGTGAAGATTACAATGATATTTGTAACGCGGTGATACGTGTCGTCGAGTTTAAGTAATATTACAATAATTAAAGCAGATGATTTGAAAAAGAAATTAAATAATTGCAGAAGGAGGAAATAGCCAAACAGTTTATGTTACCGGAGAGAAAGAGCAAAATTGCTACTTTATTGAAACAAGATGGTCAAGCTTACTGTATCTGTAGGAGTTCCGATAGTTCCCGTTTCATGATGTACGTAATGCTCTTCGATTAGACTGTTCTCCTTTCTAAATATTTAATAAAAGTTTCATTGAAATTTTAGAGGTTGCGATGCCTGCGAAGAATGGTACCATGGCGACTGTATAAATATTACGGAGAAGGATGCCAAGCACATAAAGCAATTCTTTTGTATTGTAAGTTCTCGAATAATAACAGAACTAGTTATCGGAGGAAAAGTATTGACTAGGTATGTTTGTAGCGCTGCAGAGAAGAAGATCCTACCCTGGTGACTCGTTACAAACCACGCAAGACAGAGCAAGAAGATCGCAAATATAAGAAGCACAAAGAGAAAGAACGAGCTCACAGGTACGAGTATGATGCACCCTGGGACCCAACTTTAGTAAAAAAATCGTCGAAACGTTGCGGACAATGCACAGGCTGTATAAGAACCGAAAACTGTGGGAAATGCGACGCGTGCAGGTAGTTTTGATCAATTATCGAAAGTCGAACATTAAATAATATCGTGATTAATCGTATTTCCATAAATCAATCGTCTCTCGCTTCTCAGACATTTGAAGAAATTCGGGCCCTCGGTACGGTTAAAGCTTAGATGCATACAAAGAACTTGCAGAGTGTTGGGCGATCCGTTGAAACCGTCGAAAAGTTTCAATAAAAGTTCGAAATTCATCAAGAAACGCAAGAGGGATTCGAGCAACGAAAGGAACGAATACCTCGAAGTGCCAAGACACTGTTACGGTCCAGCCTGCACAAAACAGTCGCGTACCGGTAGCAAGTACTGCTCCGACGAGTGTGGATTAAAACTGGCAACTAACAGGATCTACCAAGTGCTGCCGCAACGGATACAGGAATGGTCGTTGACACCGTGCATCGCGGAACAGAACAACCGAAGAGCGCTGGAGTCTGTCAGGAGGCAGCAATACGACGTCAGACGGATACTCCAGGAACTGGACAAAAGACACACCGAGTTGGACAAGATCGTGGAGCGGGCTAAACACGCGACTATAGACCCACAAGCGGAAGTGGACGACAACGACGACACCGAGATGAGCATGTACTGTATCACTTGCGGGCACGAGATCCATTCCAGGACCGCCATCAAACACATGGAGAAATGTTTCAACAAGGTAAAGCAACGTGGACACGCCGGACGCGTTTCGTTTGTCCCGACACTGTACACCAATGGTTCTAACTTTCTTTTCGCTTTCACAGTACGAGTCTCAAGCGTCGTTCGGTTCCATCTTCAAGACGCGCATCGAGGGACAAGTGATGTTTTGCGATTTCTACAATCCCGCGAATCGAACCTACTGCAAAAGGTTGCGGGTACTGTGCCCGGAGCATTGCAAGGATCCGAAGATCAGCGAGACAGAGGTTTGCGGGTGTCCCCTGGTCACCAATGTGTTCGACACCACCGGAGAATTCTGTCGTGCCCCGAAGAAGAGTTGCGTGAAACATTATGTCTGGGAGAAACTGCGCAGAGCAGAGATCGACATGGAAAGAGTGAGACAGTGGTTGAAGATAGACGAGTTGGTGGAACAGGAAAGACAGATCCGAGCGAACATGGCTACGCGTGCCGGGGTTCTGGCGCTGATGCTGCACTCCACGTACAATCACGAGCTAATGGAACAGATGACGCAAGAACAGAACAGGGAACAGTTGGAAGCAATGGAGGAAGAACTTCAGCGTAGGTATGGTATGCTGCAGAAAGAACAATCCGCGGTGCAATGATGGCTCTCGCATCTTTAAGGATACTTCTACTGCTGTACGGTGCATGGAACTGTTTAAACGTACCTCCGCGACGTGTTCATTATAGCGTTACCTATTAATGTATTATCGTACGATGCGACAATGACTGTAAACCTGTTCCTCGATCTTCGTCGATTCGTACGTGTTAAGTATATGGAATTGTAGAAGGTCGTTTCCGCGATGAAATCGAATGATTGTAAATAAGAGGATAAATAGCGGGAAATCGAAATGGAACGTACACCACTACCGGAACGAGTCTACCGCTAGAGAGTTCTAGTTTCAAGGGTGTCAACGCCAACGCGTCTCTACACGGATATCTGCGAACAGCAACAATCGTCCCCAGACCGAGTCTGCGTAATTGTGTATTTCTCTTTATTTATAACGTTCAATTAAACTTTTGTAAATTCAAATTCATAATATAATTTGTCCATTACCTATTTTTAGTGTTCACAATATATCGTTTCACATTATATGATTGCACATGTGAATCAAATCAATTAACTCGTTATATGAAACATAATTTCAACGTTTCTAAAATTTACCACACTTTTAACTTCAATAAATATATTACTTGCTTAATTTTAATCGGTTAAGTTCCGACTCGTCGCTAGAAAGGATATTCTCTCAAAATACTTCTGAATTACAACAATTTCCAATCGCAACACAGGATATTACATATTCTGGCACAGTACAACTCTCTCTATACTGTTTTTTCTTTTTTTTCTTTTTTCTTCGTCGTCTATATACATATGTACATACGTACACACACACATATTCCTCTTCTCTGCCCCGTTTGTATGTACATATGTATAATATACTCTCGGTATGCGTCGTGTATCGTTCCTCTTGCTGGTTTGCGTTTTTTTTGTTCATTTGCTTTTTCTTCATTTTTCTTGTTTATCGTTATTACTTTTTTTCTCGATATATGTGTCGTCGATGCAAACTGTGAGAATCAAAACGCACAATTCTCGCTTCCCCGTCGGCGGCGCGTCACGCACAGTGGTACAGACGTAGCCCAATGGACAATGGAATTGAACTCGAATACCCCCCAAAACGTTCGGGTGAAACTTGTCGTCTATAAATAACTAGCTTAATAATATATTAGTGTTTGCCAAGTGTTGCGCTCAAATACGTTCTGCAAAAAACAATCTGCGTAACTCTAGCTCTGTTTTTTTTCGATACTTTTTTTCTTCTTTTCTTGTTTTTCCTCCATTTTTCTTTTTGTCACTCTTAAACCTATTTTTGGAAAGAAAGGCTCAAACACATTAGACAAGACAGTTCGTCGAACCTTGTATCCTTCACCGATCGTCTCTCGCGTGATCGTTTCACGTCCCTCCGTTAGTCTGACGACGACGGCGGCGACGGCGACGACGACGCGCACAAATAAAGTCAATTGTTCCATCGTCTTCGCTTCTGTTGCTCTGCTTTTTTTGTTTGCTCTTTCTTTTATTTATTTATTCATTTATTTCTCTGCGATACGTCCACTTTTTCTCTTCGATTCCAGATCCCGGAGAAGGGTTAATTCCCGTTGCTCGCGCAACACGCGCACCATTCCGAAAGCCGAACAAAATATGCGACGGTTCGGCTCGTGTCGCGCGACAAACGAACGAACACACACGCATACGCACACGCACACACACACACACACGC